GTCGCTTCTGGGCTGGCTGCCCAGCTGGTGCAATCCCGCAGGCAGCCCCGGGGCGGAGGCATCGGCAGCCCCGTTCGTTCCCCTATGGGACCTGAGCGGGACGGGGGGGGCTGGAGCCTGCTGCCCCCACTCCGGGGCCGCCTGCAGGATTGCACCAGCTGGGCAGCAGCCCAGACGCGACTGGCCAGGGGCTGGGCATAGTGTGCGCGCTGCTGGGTCCCCGCAGCAGGCCCGGGCTCGGGGGGTTCGCGGGCGCCAGAGCTGCAGCCGCTGAGCGCCACTTGCTTGGCCAGCGGCCGCTTCCTCCCCCCGCGGCAGTGGGAGCTGCAGCAGCGGCTGCTCCCGAGTCCCGCTGCCCAGGTGGGGAGAACAGCTGCCGCCTGGCCCTGTGGGCCGCCCGCGGCCCCCCTACTCTCCCTCCAGGTACCGCACCCGAGTCCTGCCTGCTCGGGGCCAGGCCGGACTCACACTCACCCCGGCCCCGCGCTCCCCTGCGTCTCCCGGGCCTCCCTCCAGCGCTTGCAGAGGGAGGAGAATGGGGGGGGGGGTTCCCTTTTCCCCCCCCGCGTCCCGATATTTGACCTGGGTGATCTGGTCACCCTACTGGAGATGCCACTTCCTAACCCCTTATAACTGTTAGCCCTATGGTTTGTGCTCTCAGCTGGGCTACAGGAGACTAGCGTTCAATTCCCCTTTCTGTCTTATGTAAAGAACTAACTTGAACTTGGGTTTCCCACCTCTCAGGTGAATACCTTGACCACTGGACTGTAGAGTGAGTCTCACTCTCTCTGGCCCAATGCATATTTAATTATTGATATCCATGGAACAGCTTCAGCATGAGAGTTTGAGACAGATTCACCCCAGAGTCCTTCTGTGGGTCAGATCTTATCCAGATAGGTACATTACATAGGCCTTGTGGTGGCCCTCTGAATTTTTCCCCATAGCGAATGCCTTACTGAGATGACTATAATAAAAATCACTGAAAATAGAACAGAGAGAAGGAAGGAAGGGACATTAGAAAATTCACATGAAATGTTCTTGACAATCACACTAAATAATTACAATTTTATCATTTTTCTGTTTAAATAACATTTTACTAGCTTGGAACAGCAATTGGTGAGTTTTGTTGTAGTTAATTACTCAGCTCAGATTCCATTTAATGTTAGGATTCTGCAGAATACAAGAGGAAGAGCTGGATGACACATGCTGTTAATTGCAATAAAATTAAAAATGGGCTGTTAACACACAGAGGCTACTGAACACAACGAGAACTGAGGGCACACAGCATTTCATAGAACCAGTCCCCTGATGTGCAGGCATGTATTAGGTATTACTCCCACGGGCCTTGATTCATCCGGGTATATTTCTCAAAGCGAGAAGGCTCAAATAGAAGAGAAAGCATGACAAGCATGGATTCATGGTTAGTGGGGGTGAAGAGTCTGGGTTCCATTCCCAGCTGTCACATGGCGCCATGACAAACTGATGGAACTTGTAGCCATCCTGAGGCAGCTTTAAGTTTTGACAGGGATTGAGGCAGCCCCCAGAGAGCCCCGTGCTGCAGTCTCTGCTATGTGCTGCTCCAGCACACCTGAGGATCCACCCCTCTTCATCTAACCCTGCTCACAGCAGTTTTAATCAAAAGGGTGTTTAAACTGCTAGCAGACTGCCTAAACTAGAGCTCCCAACAGTGCTAACATCATGGATCTGAGAGAGTATTAGCACTGGTGAGAAATTTTGGCAAAATTTTCCTTGTGTAGGAAAGGCTTACATGGCCAGGCAGTGTACTTTGTTAAGTAGTAGAAAGACAGAAAAGGAAGCTAGTGAAAAATCACAAAACATTCTTACTCTAATGGTCCTCAGCCCTTTTTGTGGGCTAATAATATGGCCAAGGTTACGGGAGCTCAATAGTTCAGACTATAATTATAAAGATTTATATGCTTGGCTCATTATTATCATCAGCCACTCAGATTCTTCCCTCATCCTCACCAATGTTAAAAATAGTTCCACTTAGTAGCCATAAGTAAAGATTTTGGAGGAAGGCTTTAAATAACAACCCTACCCTCTCTACTGAAAGGGGAAAGGCTAAAAAGAAACGCATTAGCGTTTAAAACAAAAAACCCAATAGTGACCATTAATGTAAAAGGAAGTGCTCATATATCATGAGACATAAGCTGTTGCTGGGGGACACAGAGCAGAGATGTTATAAATAGTAGTAGTGCACTCCTCACTATTGTACTTTCTCCTACTCAATAATCCACTCAATTGCTTTAATGTAGACTGCATAGACTGGTGACCTCTAGTGGTCAAATCACAAATGTATACAGATGTAAGGTACTGTTCATTTAATGCAATGTAGATGCTGCAAAGCAAAAGGCACACAACTAACTTTACATACTGGAAGAAAGGACATCTGGATATGCTGGTGGTATATTAGCGGACAAAGAAGAGGGAGTTTACGAAAATAGGCTCTTTCATTTAAGAACGAGAGAATCTCTATATCACAGCGTGCCTGGCCCCTGTAAATGAAGCAGATCCCATGCCCCGGTGCCAGACCAAGGGCTCTCATTCAGCCAGCTTACGAGGGCAGGGCAGCACCTGCGGATAGAAAAGATCTGCCAGCATGTGAGAGGGAGAGAGACCTGGTGAAACACCTGCCTGAGTGAGAGTTGAAAAGGGAGGGGGCA